ATATGATATTGAATGGAGGATAATATACTGGGTGGGAATAATTCCAATCATAGACTTTAGACATGGGTTCTTGAGAATGCAAGTATCTTAACGAGCAAGTCATATCTATACTCTGTAACTCAACCCTAACCGAGCTTCATATCGAACTATCCGTTCGCGACAAGCGTCTTGCTGCATAGAGGTAATGACTCGTGACTACCATACTTATACACCAAAGCCTCCTTCCGAACGTAGCCGGGTCACCGAAATCCCTGTGTGTGTCAGTGGAGTTTGAGGGGTAAGACGTTTCTGCGAAGCACCACGTCTGGTCGGACAGCTCCAGACGCGAATCCTACGTACAAGCGCAGCAGAGAATGATGATGCAGCCCTACTATCTACATTGCTCGACCACCATTCTCATGCATAGTAAAGCCTGATATTACTCTGATGAAGATTTCAAGTTTTCATATTTGCGCTGCGTTTCTGCTTAAGTACAGCAAGGCTATCAACCCCCAACACCATTGCGCCACCGCAGACCTCCCCTCCTTGTTGACCTGTGACAAACTTCCGAAACCCCGGAGTTGGCAGCATATCGATCGGGACATAGACTTCTTCGTCCCACCTACCAGCCAGGCTTAGCCCGAGCGCCGTCAGCCTAAACCTCAAGATCAGAGCGATACACATACGGCGCTGCCAGAAGGTGCAAGACAGTCGCACAGCTCCTGCAGGCAATACCTCCTAGACCCCAGCAACCACATCCAGAAGAAGCACCATGTCGAAATTCGAGGCCTTCCCGCGTCCCACCCAGACCTACCACTCGCAGACCTACGACCGCATCTCCAAGCACCACCACTTTACCGGCACCGGCAAGACCATCCTGGTCACCGGCGGCTCGACTGGCGTAGGCTACAGCATCTGCCAGGCGTTCGCGGAGGCGGAGGTGGCGCGCATCGCCATCATCTCACGCTCGCCGGGGCCGCAGGCCGCGGCGAAGGCCGCGCTGGAGGCCGCACACCCGGCGGTGCAGATCGTCACTTACGCGGCCTCGATCACTGACCACGCGCGCATGGCCGCCATCCTCGCCGAGCTGGGGCCGGTCGACGTGCTGGTGCTGTGCGCCGCCGTCGTCCACCGCCAGGTGCCCGCCACCGCGATCACGGCCGCCGAGATGCAGGCCGCCTTCGACGTCAACGTGCTCGCCCCCTTCCACCTCGTCCAGGCGTACCTGGCCACCACCACCACCGACTCCACGGCCACGAAGACCGTCATCCACGTCTCCTCCGCTGCGGCGCAGACCCGCAGCCCGTTCCGCGCCGGCTACGGCCCCAGCAAGGCGGCCGCCACACAGCTCATGCAGCATTTCGCTGCCGAGCGCGCCAGCCCCGCGCTCCGCGTCTTCTCCTTCCACCCGGGCGCCTTCTATACCCCGTCTGTCGCGGAACATTACGCCCCGGATTCCACGGGGTGGGAGGATATCAATCTGCCGGCGCATTTCGCGAGGTGGCTGGCGGGCCCCGAGAGTGGGTTCCTGAACGGCCGGTATCTGTGGGCGCATTGGGATGTGGATGAGTTGATTGCCCTCAGGGACCGGGTGGAGCGGGACAGTAGCTTTTTGACCATTGGGCTAGTGCTGTAGATAGCTTTGGGTCGTACATCTGCACGGCTGCTTTGCAACTAGTTCTGGGTTATACGTTCTATCCATTATTCTGTGCAATGCATGTTCACATCCAACACATTCTCTCTACCCGCGTCGCTAACCCCCCTAAATACATATCTCTTGGTTGCACACTTGCACATTCTCACATCTCCTTTCGGGGCACGTATTTGCAGAACAGGCCCACGGGCAGACTCGGCCCCGGCGCGTTGAGGTCCGTTTTGCGGTCGAAGTGGGTGCTGGGCTGACCCTTCTCGTCACACCCGCTCCACTCGTACAGCGCCAGAGCATAGGCCAGAATGATGTTCAGCTGGATCTTGGCCCACCGCATGCCCAAGCAGGGGTGGCGCCCTTGACCCCATCCGACGACTAGACCTTCGTCAGCGTGCGTGGCTTGCAAAAGAAAGCCGAGGAAGCAACTTACAGCCGTAGGCCTCCCGCTTGAACTCCTCGCGGCCCTCGCGGAAGCGCTCGGGGTCGTACCGGTACGGATCCGGGTATAGGTCGGGGTTGAAATGGACTTCGGTGGAGTTGTACGCGGCGAAGGTGCCGGCGGGGACGACCTCGGCGGTGCCGGGGATGGGGACGGCGTGGGGCGCCATGTTGAGGCGGATCATGGGGAAGGCGACCCACATGCGGATGGCCTCCTTGAAGCAGAGGTCGATGGAGGGGAAGAAGGACTCCCAGGCGTCGAGCGGGATGGCGTCGAGCTGGTCGACCAGGGGCGCGTGGCGACGGTTGTTCGGCGCGTGCGCCGCGGCGACGGTCTTGATCTCGCGGTAGATGCGCGCCTGCCAGTCCGGATGGTGGGCCAGGATGTTCAGCATCGCGCCGCTGAGGTAGCCGGCGTTGGCGGAGGCGATGAACAGCGTCGAGATGAAGAAGGCCACCATCCACTCCGGCGGGTCGCCGCGGTCGAGCATGTACTGCACCACGTCGTCGTGGCGCGGGTCGTCCTTCTTCTTGTGCAGCCGGCGCTGCACGATCGGCGTCACGATCCGGCTCAGGCTGTAGCGGCCCCAGCGGCGCTTCAGCTTGGCTAGCGAGGGTAGGTAGGGCAGCGCCACGGCGTGGATGCTGCTCGTGTGCATCAGCAGCGAGAGCACGCTCTGGGTCCTCGCGAGCACCGCCGGATCGTCCGCGATCTCGTCGCTGCACACTACGCGACAGGCCTGCTGCACCACCAGGCGGTAGCAGGCGTCCGTCGGGTTCATGACGCCGGAGGCGTGGTGGCGTAGCGCCTCAAATGCCCCGCGCGCGTCCCTCGTCACGCCGGGCAGACGCTTCCCCAGCTGCTCGGACTTCTGCAAGTCCACCAAGCGGCGCTGGAAGTAGCTGCGGCCGTTCTGGAAGTTACCGTGGAAGATCGCGTGCAGCGGAGGCACGAAGTCCGGGCCGTGGCCGACCAGAGTCGCGCCGCGCACGAAGTCGAAGTTAGGGTTGTCGAGGAACACTTTGCGGGCCGCGGGCCCCGACATCCCCACCACATGGTACTTGCCCAGCCAGAAGCTGAAGTGCCCGGTCGGGCTCTTGGCCACGCAGTCTTGCCAGAATGCCCTATGCGTTGCGTTGCTTAGACACGCATGAATGTGGAGGAAGCGAGATAGGCATACTTACCATTTTTGCGTGAAGAAACTCCATGACCCCACCAGTGGCACGGTGTTTGGAGTGAATTTGGGGGACTTCTTGTCGACACGAGGGGTATACGAGAGAAAGACAATGTAGGCGAGAACAGTCGTCACGGTCGCTACCAACCCTGTTATCGCTGCCTTCATCGGCAGCTCGAAATTATTGAACTTGTCGGTGTAGGTTGCATCCATCTTGAGTGAATTTTTCAGGGCACAAGGGAGGGGCACAAGTTTGGGGTGGTGAGACAGCCCTAATAACTTATGTACTGTACTCTCACCTACAAAATCGCCAACGTGCAACTGGTCCAACTAGGCAAGCGAGACTGGTCATCATCGACTGATCGGGATCCGGGTGTTTACTTACGTGCGCATTGACGATTCCTAGGATTCCTAGTATGCAGTTGGACCCCTGTTGCTGCATAGCTCGTAGGCCTAGACTGGGAGTACGACCGGGCTCCGGGATGCTTCGAATCCCCGACGACAATAGCCCGACGCCTTTCTGAATTAAAACCAATAGGGTTGGCGATCTGCACGCGCGCTACTGCACGAATCCTCACTGCTAGATGACATCAAATCATTCAAAGAAGAAATAAAAGCATGTGCATTCTGTCATTTATGCGACCGGTCACCGTGAATCGATCCCGATCCAGCAAAACACCATGCCCTCCTATCTCATCACCGGCGCAAGTCGAGGTCTGGGCTACACCTGGCTGAAGCACCTCTCCTCCAACCCGCAAAACACCGTAGTCGGACTCGTTCGCGATAAATCCTCAACGCATACCCATTTATTAGCAGATCGACTGACCAATGCGCACCTCGTCTGCGCCGACATCACCGACCCCAAAGCCCTGCAGACAGCGGCCGAGCAGGTCGGCGCCATCACCGGCGGGGGCCTGGATGTGCTGATCAACAACGCCGCCATCCTGACCCCGACCAGCGCCTTCACACCGATCACGGACCTGGCGCCCGAGGTCCTGGAGCGCGACATCTTACAGTCATGCCGCACGAACGTGGTCGGGGTGGCGCACACCGTCAACGCATTCCTGCCGCTGATTCGAAGGGGGAGAGCCAAGAAAGTGATCACCATCTCGTCCCTGCTGGCCGATCCGGACCTCGTCCGACACTTCGCGGTCGACAACGCGACGCCCTACGCGATCTCCAAAGCGGCGGCCAACCTCCTCATGGCCAAGTATCATGCCTCGCTCGGCGCGACGGACGGGATCCTGTTCATGGCCATCAGTCCCGGCGCCGTGTCCAAGCCCGATACGGCTCCGTCTGAGGGCGAGGCGGAGGGACGACGGCGGATGGTCGCCAAGCTGCAGGCGTACGCGCCGCATTTCTCGGGCCCGATGACGATGGAGGACAGTGTGCGTCGGCAATTGGAGGTCATCGAGAACGCGACCGTGGAAACCCATGGAGGAGCGTTTGTCAGCCACTTGGGGAATAAACAATGGTTGTGAGGGATTGGCCACTGGAGGGTCACTGCATCTTTGGCCTAGAGAGCCATGCGTCGTCCCCGCAGCGCAGCGGGGCTTGAAGGCGGAAATCAGTATCCCTGGCAGTGGCCGGTGGCCCAGCACGCATTTGGCGAGTAGCACCGAGTGCAGGGCAGAGAGAAAGGTCATCGAGCACACAATCGAGAGATGCCCTGTAGGTACACACTACATAGCAACCACTAGGAGTCGAGCCCGGCCCCTATCCCCAAGCGTGCTCCAATAGACGAACCGATCACCAGGGGAGCGATTTGTATTCCACTAGTATTATAATAACAGCTACACAATCTGCAAATTCGGTGTCTCTGCACATACATAAACTTTCATCGAGAGCGTAGTTAGATCCAATCTATCTCGAAAGAAAGATAAACGCGCCCAGAAACACAGTCATCATGGCCAGGCCCGATGCCGACACGATCCCCGACGCTCCCCGCTGCGCATCACTTGGAAACTCCAATCCCTCTCGCACGGTACCATCATTGATCCATTCCTCGATCCACCCAATCGTCATTCTACGCTGCCAGTCAGAAAAACCCGCTCTCATCTCAGGGGCCGGAGATAAAAACCTACTGGCTGCGCCGCGTATCCGCAAAGTGCTCATGATCCCCAAAAAGATGCTCCTTGTAGTACGGATCCTCCTTCATCTTCTTGTAGTGGTCCACGCTCTCGAACACCACCTGACTGAAGCAATCATAGTCGGCGATATTGGCCATCTGGCGATCATAGATCCGGTTCATCAAGAGGCGCGTCTGCGTCGGATTGTGGATCTGCGTAGCCCCAGTGTCAGTTCGCTCGTGCGGGCACTTAATCCGAGATGACGATGCGTACCACCGTCCACCGTTTGACTCCGTATTTGACCATGAGGTCTTTTGTCAAGGGCGCCGAGACCTGGATCATATGTCGCCGGTAGGCCTCCTCGCTCATGCCGGGCTTGCGATAGCCCAGGATGGTCAGGCAGAGATACCGGCTAGGCGGGAGGCCCTCTGTCTCTGTTGGTGTTGTCGCAGTCATCGTAGCCATTTCTGGTGGTGTGTGTCACGTAGGGTCCGCTCATTGCGAAGCCAGGAGGGCGTGATAAATGCCCCGAATATATGGGGTGATGGGTTCGGGTGGATTGCAAGGGGGTTCGGGGTCCGGGCGTCGCAGTCCGCTTTCCGATTTCCATTTTTCCCGGTTAGGGTTGATCATGTATATAGCCCGCATCAAGAGCAACAAGACCACTCGACATCCAGTCAAACCCAAACCCAAAGCTAAAACAGCAACGACAAACCATGGGCTCCACTGCAACCGCAACCGAAACCGTCACGCTGAACTCGCAGATCGGCCTGTCGGACGAGCACGTCGGCCTCCTGGGCGACGCGGCCGTGGACCGCGCCTCGATCCAGGAGGCCAACCGGCTCCTCCAGAAGAACCACGAGGAATGGCACATGTTCTTCCGCGACCGGGCGGGCCACAACCACATCGCGCACTCGATCCTGACCTGCCTGGCGCTGGGGGCCGGGCCCGCGGACATCCAGCGCGCCTACGACGACGGGGTGGGCATCCAGCGGCCGATCCCGGCGGTCGACGGCGCGACGGTCGAGCGGCTCACGGACGAGGCCTTCTTTCTCGAAACGCTAGGCGCGATCACGCAGTACACCTCGTTCCTGGTCTTCTTCCAGCGGCAGATGGACGCGCACGGGTGGCAGGCAGTCGTGAACAAATATGTGTTCTCGCGCAACGCGATCGCCGAGAAGATGCTGGCGCGGCTGTACGAGGGCGCCTACCACCCGGTGATCCACCTGGGGCTGGGAATCGAGTTCCAGCAGCCCAGCCTGATCGCGGAGGCGCTGGCGCAGGCGGCCGCCCACGACGACAGCCACATCAGCCGGCTGTTCGAGGCGTGCGAGGCGCAGGCGGCCATCGCGTACCCGCCGGCGCACCCCAAGCCGCTCGTGCAGCTGCTGCGCGAGGCCCGCGCCACCGAGGCGATCCGGTCCGCCCCGCGCTGGGAGGACTTCGGCAACAAGATGCGCGACGGCCTCGTCGGCCGCGCTCTCCTCGAGATGGCGGCCATCGGCTCGCAGTTCACCGTCAAGCCCGACGAGCGCGAGCTGCAGCGCCGCACCGCCGAGATGATCAGCGTCTGCGCCTACATGGCCGGCGCCAGCCAGCGGCCCGGCCGCAAGCGCAAGATCGACTTCTTCTACATGCACACCCTCACCAGCTCGCTCTTCTTCAGCGTGCTCATCCGCCAGGACTGGATCAGCCTCGCGGACCGCGTGCGTCTTGTCGAGTGGAAGGGCCGGCTGGATTTGGCCTGGTACGTGGTCAGCGGGTCCGCCGAGCTGCACGACGACGCGATCACGGACTACCACGACGACTTCAGCGCGGACATGGGCTGGAAGGAGCTGTACGCGGCCGTCAACAAGGAGCACGACGACGGGCATGTGGCGAAGATGATCCGCGCGCTGAAGAACGGCCAGGAGGCCGCGCGCCCGTTCGAGGCCGAGTACCCTGATGCGTTCCCGGTCAAGGGCGATATGTGGTTGAAGATTGCGCGCATGGCGCTGGACACGACCAAGGACTGGCCCACCGACCAGAAGTTTGTGAATTTTACGGGCTTTGATATGGGGTGGAAGATCCGGCCGGATCTTGCTTAGTGGTTTTTTGGTTGGATTAGAATACGGTTGGAATGTGACCCTATGTAATTAACTTTGTGGAATGGCTTCGCACGACCCAATACACAATCGCGTGGTATATTTTATTCGATGTCGTATAATCACTAGCTAGGCCCGGTAGATGGCAGATAGGCGTGCAGAAACGGAAAGAAATGTCTCGCGAGACCGGTGGCAATACACATCGGGGTGCCGGAGGGAAACTTGGCCGACCCATTCCTGTTCACCACGCTGACATTCTTCATCTCGTATCTCCCACCCTCGTCATCCGCGGCCTCGATCATCCCCGCGGCCAGGTCGAGGTACGAGACGAACGATTCGTCGTGGTCGAGATTCAGCTCGTGGCCGCGTTGCGCATCCACTGCGAGCCCCCCGGGCTTGATGAAAATCGTGGACACCAGGTCCTCCTGCGCCCGGAGGTAGGCCTCAGTCCGGCGCAGGTCCTCGTAGACGTGCGAGGCGGCGGTGCGAAGGATGGGGCGGAACCACCACGGCATGTGGCGGCTGAGATGGTCGTCGATGGTGCCGGAGGAGAGCAGGACGATTTTGGGGAGGGGTGCGCGCAGCTGGCCGTGGACCTTCAGCTTCTCGATGGCGGCGATGATGCTCTTCGCCGTGTCCAGGCCGACGTGGCAGCCGGGCACATTGTCGTTGGTCGTCACCACGTGGAAGATGGCGCGCGTGTCGCGTATGCATTCAGCCAGCAGGTCAACATCGTAGATATTCCCTTCATAGACCGTGACGCGCTTGCTGTCGGCGGCCGCTGGGACCTTTTGGGTCAGCTTGGCCTGGTTGCGGCAATAGGCGTGGATTCGCGCATTTTCGGTGCGCAGCAGGTTGTCGATGAGAGCTGTGCCACAGTTGCCGGTGGCGCCAAGGATCGCGTAGGTGGACATGGTATGACGCAGAAATTAGCGACCAGTCTTTCTTTGTCTGTTGTTCTCGATCCTGGCCGGCCAGTCCATGATCTTATCGATCGGGCTTCTTGGCCCCCGATGGGGGGGTTCGGGGTTCGGACATGCGCCCTGAGCAGGACAATTGTCGGGAGATAGTAGTCCACGGGCAACGAGAAATAGGCTATCGGGGTGTAGCGTGTCCGAATCTGTCGTACGCCGTGTGAGTTGTGTCATACTTATTTCGAGGGACTCCCATCCAAGGGGGTGGGGTGGATGCACAAAAAGGGGGCTGCTTTGGGATGTGGTCGGGGGGTAGAATGTCCGAGGGAGGTTTGAAGCCCAACAATAGCAGGCAATTGACAGCTCGGGGGTTAGGATGTCCGACATTGTCCGCCATCAATGAATTTGACGGCGCCACAGATCCACAGCAACCAACTTGTGGCAAACGCAGTCGCTGTAGAGGATAGAGTGGTGAATTTTGGTTGCCTGGATTGGAACTATAAAAGGGAGACATCGAGTATGGTTTCGTGTCCCCATTCAGATCCCAATCCATCAGCAGTCAGTCAGTCAACTCTAGTCCAAAATCATCTTGCCATTCGATCTTACTCTACACTGTCTTTTCGACTTGATTATAACCATGACCATCCGAGCCCTGAACCAGAACATCCCACCCTGGGCCTTTGCCGCCACCACAGACGAACAGGGCCCAACTCACCCATTCTCCTCTCCTCATTCCACTCCCAACCCCTGGGCCTTCCAATCCGCCCCGAACCAGGTCGGTCGCCCCGGCCACCCCTACCCATCGCCTTGGGGGGTGCAGCCCCGCGACGGGGACGACACCAACGAGGCCACCCACGAACCCGGTGAGGCCACGGCTCCGCGCAAGCCATACCCATACCCCGGGCCGGCAAAGGGCCACCCACCATACACCTTCCCCGGCGCGCCCGAGGGCCGCAAACCATATCCGTTCCCGGGCTACGCGCAGGAGCCACACACCTACCCCGGCCCTCTCCCATGGCACCAGCCACATGCCTTCCCAGGCCCGGCGGAAGGCAGAAAGCCCTACCCTTCGCCATGGGGCGATGACGACGGAACAAAGCCCAGGCCGTTCCCGCGCAAGCCGTACCCCTACCCGGGACCCGCCGAGGGCCACCAGCCGTACCCGTATCCGGGTCCCATTCCCTGGCGCCAGCCCTATCCGTCCCCATGGGGCGACGACAACGGTGACGATGACGATGATGACAACAAATGCAAGTCCGCGTTCCCGCGCCAGCCGTACCAATTCCCGGGTGCGCAAAGACACGGCGCAGGCGGATTGCCTTATCAGCAGCCGTCTGACACGTTCCCCGGCTTCCAGCGAGGCGGACCCCGGGGCCGAGGATGGGGTGCGAGTGGTTACAGTGCACGCACCGGCTTCGACGCACCCCACCACCCTTGGGGCTTCCCCCTCCTCTCCTCCAATCAACCACCCTACACGTTCCCCGGAGTCAAATCTGATACATACCAACCCGATGTGGACGTGTTCGACACCCCCGAGGCGTTCGTGATCCACGTGCCTCTGCCCGGCGCGAGAAAGGAAGACGTCGAGGTCAGTTGGGACCCCAGGGCTGTGCAGCTTGGTATTTCGGGGACTATCGCTCGGCCGGGGTCAGAGGAGCTGCTGAAGACGATTGCGCTGGATGAGCGCCGGGTGGGGGCGTTTGAGCGCAAAGTACGACTAGGCGGCCCGGGCAGTGCGCCGAAAGTGGATGGCGAGGCGATCTCGGCCAAGTTGGAGGATGGGGTGCTGGTTGTCGAGGTGCCGAAGACGGAGCCGGATGATGTTGAGGTGAAGAAGGTGGTGATTGAGTGAGGGGGGCTGTGTGGGGAGGAGGCTGCGGGAAGGTGGATGAATGGGTTATTGGGATAGGGCAGTCGATAGATAGTTGGTAGTTAATGTACTGTACTTTATTTGTGTCTTCATCTCGGTCGATGTAACCTGTAGCTATCTCTTGTATTGAGACTCACATCTTATACAACCACTGCAAGTTTGATCTCAGCTAAAAAACGATCCACAACGATGTCTCACGCTTGACCGCACTAGAGGGGCAGCAATATATATAAAAGGTCTTCGCTCTACACAACAGGAGATAGATGCGCGCACTGCACGTTTTCTACCATTGATTGCCTAGAGCACTACTAGGATGTTTCTGGAACTCGAAACTACATTTGCATAGCTATCAAGAACATATCCAGCCGCAAGAAGGGGGGTGTGGACGGAGTGACAGTGCTCATGCAGTGGCAACTGGAAAGGAAAGCCTCCCGTCCCGCCAAGTCGAACTTCCACCCTCTCTACATGCAAGCAAAGGACAACCGCCTTGGAGATGACAACCAGTCTGTCAATAGAGATACAGTTTGATCGCAAGCCCTCGTGGCTAGGTGATGATGTATTCCTGATTCTACGAACCCATTCACATATTAACCCACGGAGGCAAACCAGTCGAGCAGAAATGCCACGCTCACACAAGGACTAGGGCCAGCATCGACCGCCACGGTCGACCAGACTGCAATTGTACCTAGAACCCCTACTTCCTCAACGCAATCCAGGGGACATTCCTCTGCGGCCAGAAACATGAAACCCGGTGCAACCGACCTCGGACCATTACCATTGCACCGCGCGAGGAGGGATTGGTGGGGCTCGCCAAACCAGAAATGCCCCGAAACCCGAGAACGAATGCGAATCACCCGAGCCTCGCTTCCCGACGCATCCATCCACCACCAACAACCACCACCACTTGATACAAGTTCCCACAGAGTGGGAAGGTTGTGTACCTCAATCCGAAAAACCACACTCGCAGTCCCCAAGCCCAAGGCTACAGTCCACGATGACAATCACAATGCACAAGACCCCTACGTTCGAAGGTACCAACAACCACACCAGGTCACATGACCTCCTCCACCCTAACCCCCCGGCCCAAATCGCAGAGTACTGACCAACCACCCAGAGATCACCAGCTGCCAGCGCGCCCTCTTCGAATGGGCCGACAGCTACGACACCAAAGACTGGGAGCGTCTGCGGGCGAGCGTGGCCCCCACCCTCCGAGTAGGGGTTACCCTTTCCGAGCCCCCCTTCCTAACCCGCCAGTTCAATTCCCACCCTCTGATATTTTCCCTGTAGATCGACTACCGGTCCTTCCTCAACAAACTCTGGGACGCGATGCCGCGCGACGAGTTCATCCGCATGGCCTCCGACCCGCGCTTCCTGGGCAACCCGCGCCTCCGGACGCAGCACCTGGTCGGGCTGAGCGCGTGGGAGAAGACGGCCGACGATGCCATCGTGGGCCGCCATCAGCTGCGCGTCGCCCATCAGCGGTACACGGACGAGACCCTCGCTGAGGTGGCGGTCAAGGGCCATGCGCACGGGACGGCGACCATGTGGTACGCCCGCGTCGAGGGGGAGTGGCGGTTTGCGGGCGTGTGTCCCCAGATCAACTGGACGGAGTTTGACTACGATCAGGTGTTTGCGGAGGGGAAGGAGCATTTTGGGGAGGAGGGCGGCGCGGACTCGGAGGAGAATGGGCATTGAGGGGGACGGGTTGTGTGTGGATGGGTAGATGAATCGATGCCGGGATTGATGGCGCGAATGATCCTTCTGCAGGTACCAGGATGAGGATGACCAATGGTGGGTGATGATGTGTTCTTATTGAGGATGTGGCCTTCTGGACTGCGATTGCTGAATTGATTCATGAAAGCCTTATTCTTGAATAAGAAAGTCCTTCCTACAGGGCCCTTTGCGAGCCGGCAGCTACATAAATCATTACATAACTCTACTATCTGACTTTTCTGTAGAGGCTACATATAATCTAAGATAGGGGAGAATAGAAGAGAATAGAAACTAAAAATATTGAACTGATAGTAAGGACACAAAACATTAAATTATAGCCTAATTAGTACCGACTGTCCGTATATGTACATGTATTTATCTGTTTCCCTACTAAAGCAAGATATCGCATTGTTCGAATTCGAGGACTTTTACAAAGAAAAGACTACACCAAAAAAAATATGCTCAGACTCTAAAAGTATTTCTTGAAGAATACTGGTAGATCTTAGACGAGAAATTCTCGGAAAAGCAGATTCACAAGTATTTACAGCTGGGAGCCTAGGTCTTTCAATTATTCCAAATGTAACAAGTATACCGGTGAATCGGAAACAGATCTATAGAATATGGTTCTTGGTTATGACAGCAACCAAATCTACTAGGATGAAGATGTCTGCTATACAGCCGCCCGACGCAGCTACCAACCCACCAACACTTCATCATCCTGAAAGGATTTCGAGATTGAGGAAGTTGATCGTGAGACTATGCTGGGGGAATTAGAAATACCTAATGACCATTGGACTTTCAAGGCGATATTACACGCTCCGATCTGAATTCTGTAGATATATTGCAAATGATGCACAAACTGTCGCGCGGGAACCCTCACACATTCTTACCACCGAGATCAAAAAGCAAATGTTCGGTTTAACTATAATACTCCTCCAACCACGACCGCAGAGCTCCGATGGTAGGATACTCCAAGAACAGACTCCCGGCCACCACAATCCCCAGTTCCTCGCGGAACTTCTCGGCGATCACCAGACTCATCAGGCTGTCCACACCCAGATTGGCAAATGCTGCGTCGTCGGTGAGATCGGATGGGTCGAGACCGGCTTCGGTGGCAATCAAGGCCAGAGCCTTGCCGGATGTGCTGTCGGAGTCGATGGCCGGGGCAGCAGCAGCGGCCGCCGGTGCTGGTGTAGAGGCAGGGGTCGGTGCTGACGGATTGACCTTTGGGGCAGCCTCTACCACCGCGGGCGTGGGCTGCGAGACAGGAGCAGCAGGCGCCGGGGCAGAGACGGCAGGACCGGCACCCCCCGCAGCAGCATAGGACTTCGCGATCGACGAGTCCGGCGCGGCGAAGAATCGGTTCATGAGGATGCGGGGGTAGCGACGGAACTGGATGCCGCCCACCATCCCGACGATCACATTGTCCTGGAAGATATACACATCCCCCAGATACACGGAGGGATCGTCGGCGGTTGGGATCATCTTGACATAGGACCGGTACCGCTGGCCGGGGACCAAGGGCCGCGCGAAGCGCATACTGTCCCATCCCGGGGTCACGCAGAAGGTGTTCGCCGTGTCGCTGGCGTCGGAGACGTTCATGATGAACCCGGCCAGATGCGCCACGCTGTCGATGAAGTACGGAGGCACGGTGTAGCTCCCGCCGCCGGAGACGTGCTTGAGGGTGACGTCGGCGAAGGCCTCGAACTCGTGCATCACGACCGCTTGCATGCCCCGGTACTTGTCGGCGTACTCGACAAGGTTGTTGCCGAAGAGGGTGTACGCCATCCTGTGCGAGAAGCGGTTGGCGATCCCCTCCGCGGCGAGACGCTCCAGGGTCTCGATGCGGCCCTGCACCAGGTGCGCGAGCGGGCTCCACGATGAGAGCCAGTCGTCCGCATTGCCGTACACGACGCGGCAGGTTGCAAAGGGTTCCGAGACGGTGCCGTCGTTGGCGACGCTCTCCCAGACGAAGTCGGCGGCACCGGCGTGGATGTCGGCTGTTGTCGCGGTGACGCGGAAGTACTGCGGGACCTTGGTGTTGCTTTGGGCCACGAGGCCCTTGGTCACCTTCAGGTCCGTGATGTTGACATGCACGGTCTTGGCCGTGGGGATGAGCTTCTTGTAGAGGTATTCACCGAGGGTGTATACGATATCGCCATGGATGGACTATGTGGTCAGTAGGAGCCCGAGCCAGGAGGTCTGATAAGCACTTACAGACGTAACGACACCGCAGTTGTTCATCTTGTGTCCGTGCGCAGCGGCAAGGAGATCAGGCTGCATCAGGTCAGACTGCATGACGACCTTGCCGGACGATCCAGAGAAGTTCTCCTCGATGATCTGCTGCACAGTGGTGGTGCTGAGACTAGAGACCGGGGCAGCCGCGGCCTGTCGATTGATACCCTTCTCCGCATCGTAGAAGGTATTACCCTTGGTGAGCGCCCAGTCTCCTCTATACTGAATCCAGTAATTCTTCTCGTTCCAGCTGTAGGTGGGCAGATCTAGAAGACGCAGCGCCGCCTCAAAAGGCCGATGGAACTCATCCCAGCGCACCTGCAGCCCCGCGATGTGAAGCTGCCCCAGACTCGCTGCGAGAGTGGTCCAGTTGTCCTCCCCACGGCGGAAAGAGCCCACCGTTACCGGAGCAGGGTCGAAGCTGGCTTTGATAAATGCCACACAGACCGGGTGCGGCCCGACCTCAACCCAGACGGTGTCCTTGTCGACGATCGAGGTCTCCTGCGCGTTCTGCATGGCAGACAAGAAATCGACTGTTCCGCGCGTCGCTCGGCGCAAATACTCGGCATTGAGGGACTTTTCATCAAAGACAACTTTACCCAGCAAAGGGGAGACGATGGGCAGCGTGGGTGGGCGGAAGATGACGCTCTTTCTGGCGGTCTCCTCGAACAGGTCCAGGATGGGGTCGGTCTGGGCGGAGTGGAAAGCAAATGGGACATCGAGGAAGATGACCCTGTAGCCTTGTTCTTTGAGAGGGACCGAAACGGCTTCCATCTGCTCGGTGGTCCCCGACAGAACCGTCTCCTTGGGCCCGTTCACGCATGCGAGGTCATACGGCAGGTCCTTGACCGCATCCTCAATCTCGCGTCGCGACGCCTTGACGGCCATCATCTTGTGCGTGCCGGCAGTACACAAGGACTCCAGCATCTGAGCACGCGACCCAACCAAGAAAATGGCGTCGCTTGCGGAGAGAACACCGGCGATGACGAAGGCCGCGTACTCGCCCAGACTATGTCCGGCGACGACTTCGGGTTTGATACCCAGTGTCTCCCAGTATTTGGCCAAGGCAATCTCCACGCTGGTGTGAGCCACTTGGGTGATGACGGGCGACCAGGCGTGGTCTTTGGGATAACTGCCATCGACGGCTGGGAGGAACGAGGGAAAGCCGTGCTGTTGACCCAGACGGTCAAGGCTTTCGAGCTGGGACCGGAAGAATGGGGAGTGGTGGTACAGCTGCAGGTTCATCGACTTGTCGGCGGCGCCTTGCCCGGTGAAGACAAACGCCACCGGCGTAGCTCCGGTTGTGGGAATTGGCTTCATGGAGTCGACC